TGAAAGAATGCGGCTAAAAAATCTTTTTTATGGTGATTGCATAACGTACGGATATTAGGAACATTACAACGAGTAGGATCGGATAAATCGTGATCATGTATAGTCTGATTTCATCTAGGTAGATAGAACGTATCGTTTAAAGGCCTAAGCATCGGCGCGGTATAAAAATGAAAACTGGAGCATTTGCCGCCCGCCCCTACCTGCCGCAACCCTTTCCCCCTACCATTTTAAGAAGTGAAAGAGATGGTCCCGAGTTCTTCGGTTCGTAAGTTGCTACGTGGTTAGGCGCATGCCGATACCATAGCCATGCTACACTGGCTGTCATAGAGCGAATGGTCCATTTCCATACACTCGTGATCCGACTTCGTCACCACTGTCAGTGCAGTAACATGAGAAAACGGTGCCTGTACCGTTGCTCCAAAATAGTTAACATTCTTTGGACCTTGTGTTCGTTATGCATCGTACCACCGAGCGTACTCTCTCAACCTTTCTAATCACGATAAGCTTTCAACTGAGGAACCGCAGCTACTTTCGAATGTATGAAAATATGCTTTTACACGTATACAACACTATCTTTATGATCAATAATACCACACATATCTGATTTCACGGAAGTGTCATGCATGAGATTCAACATCATTTCATTTTGCGATCAAGAATTTCATGATAGTAACATGACACCTGTTGCCTTTTTTTCAAACTCGAGCCATTGACCCGTTTAGACACGTGTCACCATAAACTATTAACAAATTTTATCGCGAGTGTCTTCGTCGTTTATATTTCGAAAGTTATAACTTTTATGGTATTTCATACGTTACAACAACAACCCATCGAACTATGAATCGAAAGAAGTTATTAACGAACGAAAGGTCAATATCAGTTGAAAGTATACCCAGAAAGTGTACCAAAGGTCAATAAATTCATTATTTATATTTTTTTTACATATATAATAATTAACATCGCTTTCAGGATTTTATGGAATAAATTACATTTTATTCACACCGACCTTTGAAAACATCCAACGTATCATACATTAAAGTTCGAGGACGGTACGCACAATACACTACCTGTTGGGTCGACCTGTATCACCGCATTTGCGTGTGTCGGCGGTGGCGCTCTCACAGGTCACGCACAGTTCTGAAAATATAACGTAGCTAGCCACGCGGTAATACGCGCGGAATATATTCACGTCTTGAGAAAACAACGTTTTAATAAAACCAGCAACAAATGAGTACGAGAAAACGACACATTTGCGGCAAACGAAATCGTTTCACTTGGTCCGAGCGCTCGCGCACAAGAACACCACGTCGAAGTTTAAAGGCAACCTTGCGCAGGTGAACGCAGCCAGGCCGTTCGCTGTACTGGCAGGTTGGCAGGTCACTCTCTTGTATACCGCCAAGACACACCGGCCAGGTGCATTCTCGCCCCGCTTGCCTGCTTTTCTACCTGAGCGAGAGCATTCGCCGTGGAGGACCGCATAGTGGCCTCTCGACGAGCGTTACAGGTTATGTCACGTAATACACGCCCGCGATGACTTATCGGTTGAGGCTCGAGGTCGCGACGTCGATTGAGAATAGGTCAAACACGAACAGTTAGTAGCAAAAATGTATATCATGTGCTATCAAATACTCCTATATATTGTTGTTTTCAGATATAAATCTTGAAGAATTTATTTATACCAATTACCTGTCGTATGCAGAATTTTTTTATAACTAACAAAAGTGAAATCTGGTTGTTGTTAATAATTTTCAACTTTTTATGAAAAAAATATCGTGTACGTTGTAATGGATTCAAAATGGATTGTAGACGTAACTATTATCGCTACTGGAGATAAAAGTAAAAGTTTTATAAATTTAAAACTTAAATTTTAATTTAAATACTCAATTTTTTATATTTAGAAATTCGTATTTTCAGTTTTGAATATTTGAGAGTTTTAAACTTGAAAAATAATCACAATTGTTGCAATAACAAAAAATAATCGAGTTTTGTAATAATAATAATGATAACAATCGAAAAAAGAAAAATAAAGTAAGGAAAACAATGTTTCATAAATATTAATGAATAGATTCTTGAATGTATTTTTATTTCAACGTTTGCCCTTTGTGTTTAAAAATAAATATAGACATAAATTTCGATAATTACAGCAATAACCTTATATAACATCAATTAAAGTGATACAACATTTCAATTTATTAAAAGTAATATTTTTATTTTTGTTGCTTAAATTAGTGCTTGTCCTTTAAATATATTATGTTGGCTTATAACCTTTCGAATGGTCATTCCATTCCAAGTCAGCTAAAGATTTCTTGGAACAGCATCAGTGAAGAAGAATAGTCATTCGAGAGTAATTATTTCTATACGACCGGACTTCACAGGTAAAGGTCGCTCGTGGGTCCGAAGGTTATCTCCTACCTACTTGATCACTGTATCGACACAGATTTATCTTGTAATCCTATTCGTTGCGTTAAAATTGCATTACTAATCGCGCATCGTTCTTTCCCTTTTTCTTTATCACAATCAATTTTTCGATTACTATATGCGTCATTCATCGAAAGAATTTTCAATGACGTAAATGCCTTTATTCTTAAAAATAAAGAAGAATATAATTATTTTTTAACAGATTCTTATAATTTACTAGTAATTTTACTTCATATCCTCAAAGTTTTATGAAAAAAAAATTCTGAACTACGTTGTTCTTAAAAAAGTCTTTTATGTTGCAGTGTTTGAATGAATCACATGATAAATGAATAATACTAATATGACAATTCTTTAACATACAAAACAAAAAATGACCAACAAAGCGATGTTATTATCAACAGAGTTGCAAGATTTCATAATGATAATGTCAAAATATCTTATGATCACTATGTTATGATTAAGCAAGAATAGTGTTTTATTTACTAATACTCTGTTTAAAAGCAAAGATACGAATATTTTGTACGATATTTACTAAAGCGAACATGCCCAGATTGATACGATGTGGGCGAATCAACGTTTGGATTTCATGCATCGTTATCGACGAAATATAACAAAAAACTAAGTACTAAAAGGTAGATAAATTTTGGAAAGACTTACCTTTATTATTAGTAACGATGATAGATTTGACTACGCATCATTTGGACAGTTCATAGCAACAACTAGACTTCATCAACCATCCGTGGGTTAGAGTTCATAACCTCTTCTAACCTTTACCTTTCCTTTACCTCCTTCCCCCCCGTACCTAACCCCACCGCACACCTTTATAGCCACTCAACAATGCATCTGCTGCCATCGATACGCGGCTGCATACAGATCGACGATTTCAAACCTCTGTTGCAGAATTTGTACGTCGCGCCAGGTCCTCGGTAAACTTGAGAACTTATTTCAGGAAGTATCGCCATGATGGTAAAGGAAGTTGCCATGTAACCATCATTTACATTTAAACTTCTTTATTATTTTATCTAGCTTAAATCCAGCAAATTACAAAATATACTTATTGCAATTTCAATTTTACCAGAAGATAAAGGTACTTAAAGATAACGAATAAAAATAATTAATAATTTAAAAACCGAACTCGATAAGAAAATACTTAATGTACTGCAAAAAGATATTTATTGCAAACAATTTTTCATGTAATACATGTAATACATAAATTCATTATACAAGTATTAATAAAGCGTGTCATTAATATTGATAATATTTATAATTGCAGTACTATCATCTATACTACTACAATTTCACCATTATTGAAATATTCACTTATCTATGAATTACTTATTTTTATGTTTTTTATCACTATTATATTTTCTATAGCTTCTTAAAAATATCCTAAATTTCGTAGAAAGCCATATTTCGGTTATTAATTGCTTAGAAAATTGAAGACAACCAAATTAAGTTTGAACTCAATTTGTATTAAATTAATATCAGAGTCAACTTATTTTCATATATAAAATTGTTTAGAAACAATATTCTACATACAATCACTTATTTTTAGAAGGTTGCTACTTTTACAACCCACAGTATCAAAATTAATTATTTATAAATCTTATTTAATTTTTAAGTCTTATAAAATTGTCTCATTGATTCAATGATCATTATGTTCACTCTTAGTTACAATGCCAGGTACTTTTGTTTCTTATTTAATTTACTTCTATGAAGATCAAAGATAAGTGCGCTTATAAAATTTCAAATGTAAGACATAATTGAAGATAATTATTATAAGTTACAAATATCAAACAGCAGGAGATAATAATTGTATTATATATGTATATATATATATATTTTAGATAGAAACCCTAAT